GGAAGAGCCGGGGAGACCCGGGAAATGTAGTCTCATCCCATGTGCGCGGGGGCAAGAAGACTACAGCCCCCACAGTGCTGCGGGAGGAAGGAAGAGGAGGAGACAGAGCAAGAGGAGGAGGAGGAGGAAGGACGCGCTGCCCGGTAGGGCCAGCCCCAGCCGTGTCCTTTCGTCGGCGTGCAGCCCCTTAGAGCTCTGCCTGCGGATCCTCCCGGCGTCCACGCCGAGCCTTCTGAGCTGCGCACCTCTCCGGGCTCCCAGGGGCCCGTCCGCAGGTGCCGGTGGTTCCTCGCTTTGTGCCACCGAACCGCAGCAGCGCAGAGTCCCGCCGCGTAGAGATGTATGTCCCCGCTGCTGTCCCGGCCCCCCCCCGGTGCACTCCAGGGGCGACGGGGGCACTTTCCGACGTCCCGGCGGGGATACCCATAACGTTATAAATAACGCAGAAAGCCACAAACGGGCATTAATCCCGAATGCTCCGCCCCATCCCCCTGCCCGCAGCGTGGGCCGGGCTGCGCGCGTCCACCTCCGCCCCCAGCAGTCACTGTGCCAGAAGCAATGCGACCCGACAGCCCTCGGCTGCTCCAATGAAATATTCATAGCCCCGCGCCCGCCTGGCGGAGGCCCCAACCCGGGGCTTTCTGCTCCCCAGCGCCTCACAGCGCGCAGCCCCGGCGGGCAGAACTCTGTTTCCCCCGCTGTAGGGGCGTCCCATCAATCACCACAAGCCTGCATTTATTTTGTTTCTGTATTTTTCCTCCTTATCTCAGACAAACAATCGGAGCCTGAAGGTGTTGTTCGGGTGCGGGACACAGCGGGTGGATGCAGCCTGGTGCGCACAGGCTTCGCCGGGGGATGCTCGTTTTGTCCCCATTCCATTCAATGATGAGAGGCCCGGCGGGATCGTTGCTTATTTATAGGGGTCAGGACCCTCCCTTACGTCCTGTAGCATCTCGGTGCGCACTCGGGGCGATGCCGGGTGCTGCTTGCACCCGCTGGGACCCACAGAAGCACCTCCCGGCCCCACACCCCAGCAGCTGCGTCTCGGTGCCACCGCGCTGCCACCGCCCGCCCCAAAGGTCCTTCCCGCTTGGGACGGCGCACCCCAAATCGTACCGCCGGACTGTGGCAGGGGTCAGCCCCTCCCCAAAACCCAAGGGCTGTCACCCCGTGGTGCCGCCGGTGGCGGTCCCCAGGTGCTGCGGGCGGCAGCGGGAGGATGAGGGTGAGGATGAGGATGGGGTGGGCTCAGCTCGGCGGGGTGGGCAGGGCCTGCGGGGCCGGGCAGGACGCACAGCTCCGGCTGCCGCCGCCTCGGAGCCAGCCCCGCCGCGCCCTGCCGCCTCCCCCTCCGCCCCCGGCCTCCCCTCCCCGCTCTGCCCCTCTCCTCCCTCCCCGACCCCCTGCCCCTGCCCCGTCCTTCCGCGCTTCTCCAGAGCCCGTCCGTCCGTCCGTCCATCAGAGGCAGGTAGGATTTTTCTTTCCCGGGACTTCGTTCTCTTTGGGAGGGTCCGAGCGCGTTCCCCCCGGCGAGGCAGGGCGGGAGGGAGAGGCAGCCCCCAGAGCTGCTCCAGCCCTGCTGTGCCTCTCCCGGGGCTGTGCCACCTTCTGCACTGCTGGGAATTTCGTGTCCCTGTTCCCATCCCGGGATGGGATCCCATCCCTGCTTGGATGGTGACAGCGAGACCCGAAGCTCTGCCCCTGTGTCCCCATCCCCAAGCTGCACGAGTGGGAGCAGCTCAGGCCCTGAGATGAGCAATGGCAGGGATGTGGCATGGGTGGGTGAGCCCTGGGCACTGCCTTTGGGGTGCGAGCCCTTGTGAGGTCCTGCATGTGCCGTGTGCCAGATCACTGGTGGTGTCTGAGCCCTTTATCTCTGGCCCTCCTAGCACCCACCAAGCAAACTCATGGCTGCACCCACAGCCAGGTGAATGTCCCCCCATCCTCAGTGACTGCAGGCGAGGGAGGCCCTGGTACTTTGGAGCCCGTGTCTCCAAGCATTCAGGCATCCTGCTTCCTCCCAAGGCTGCAGCACTGCGGAGCATCCCCACCCTAGCACGGATGCTGCATGGCCCCCCGGGAATGGTGCAGAGCGCTGCGTTGTGGTGCATCCCCTCTGGCTCTGGGTTGGGCAGGGGTCCCCTAGGGCGTGGGCAGCAGCACCCCATGCAGAGCTGTGCCTGGCTGTAGCCCTAGGGATGGGAGGTGAGGAACGCTCCCAGAATCTCATCCACGCTTTCTAGGATTGTTTCCATTGCAGCCTTTGGGCGGATGCTATGGGAAATCCCATTTCCAACCTGTTTTTATACTGTGAAGGTACAGCTTTGCTGCATGATGCAGAGCAGTCCCTAGCAGGTGCCAAAACAGGTGCCAAAACCTATGCCACTGGAGTGGGTTGGAAGATGCTAGGCTTTCAGGGCTGTGTCAGGGGCCTCCAGCCTAGGTCTGTCTGGTGGCTGTGCATGGGGATTCCAGGTTGTGTCTCTGGGCTGTGCAAAGGATGTGGGAGAGTATGGGCACATTTTGGAGCTGAAATGTGCTCCCACCAGCACAGTAGCTGTGCCCTCAGTGCTGCAGCACCACTGTGTCCTGCAGGGAGCTACGGGTGGGGAACGGCGGAGCTTTCTCCTCCCTTCCATCCCCTCACAGGGATTCCCACGGCCATCTATGTGGCCACAAATGGATGCTCTCATCCCTCTTTTATCATGGAAAACTGCTCCTTTAAGTAGCCAGGTGTGTGTGTCACCTCCCCAGGGCGGCAGTGTCCTTACCCCGGTCCCCACCACACCATAGCCACATGGCCAGTATACGGGTAGCCCCGGTGGCCAGTCAAGCTGGCGGTGACAGCATCCCGGAGTTGTCACCTCCCTGGAAGAGGTTAAGCCTTCGAGCTGGGTTCTGGTGTCTTGCTGATGGCTGTTTTGCGTCTGGATGCGGCTTCTGGATGAAGGCTTTTATGCCTTGGCTGGGTTTCAGAGGCAGAGGCTGGAGGATGACTCACACTCTCCAGCCGCCAAGGAGCAAACCTGCGGTGCTGACTTCCATCAGCGCAAGGTGGCGGCTTCCTGAAAACATACACGCCTGCTGCATTTCGGGGTGCAGCGCCCATCCCTCCTGCAGATGGGAGGGATTCATCCCTCGGGAATGACGGCGGGGGATCCACGCGGGGATCTGGAGGCGAAGCTCTGACTCTCCACCCATCTGTCCGCAGGGCACCAGCTGCTCCCAGCTGTGCCGCAGACCTCCCCGTGCCACCAGATGTGCCACCGCACCGTGCCGTGCCGGGGCCCGTCACTGGGGGGAAGCAGGGAGCACAGGGGAGGCCGATGGGAGCTGCTCCGTGCCTGTCCCGGTGACACTGGTGATGTCTTAATGGGAAGCGGATTGATTGATGGCAAAGTCCCCGTCGCTGCACTGCTGGGCTTGAGCCCGGACGGCTTTAAAGTATTGCAGAATCAACCCAGCCCGTTGTGCTCTCCAAATGGCCAAGGTGAGAACTTTGAGAAGTGGCAGAAGAATTAATTGGATGAAGAATGAA